TATATATATATATATATACATATAGGTTTCGCCATGCCGATCCCTAGTTGAGTAGCTTTTCTTCGATCTAACCTCTCTCGACGTCGCACGTCGACTTCAATTCTGCTCGTCGCACGTCAGCTTCGTATCTGCTCGTGCGTCAACTGCGTCGTCCTCGGGCTCAAATTGATCTCACGGGTTTTGCCGCTTCTACTCCCTACTTCGGTTTCGTCTCTGCTTGTGCGTCTCTGCTCGCATGTCAGCTTCATTTTTGCTCTGTGTCTTTGCGCGTGCGTCGGACTACAATGGTTGTGTCGTCCTCGTGCTCGAGATGATCGCAGGGGCTTCGTCGCTCTTTCCTGTTTGCTCTGAGATTGCAGGGGCTTCCGCTCCTGCTCCCTGTTTCGGGTTTCCGCTCTTTGCTCTGCTACGCCGCACCTCCATGGCTTTAGACAAATCTTATGATGCTGCACTTGCGGGTGTCCATGCCTCAGATACACCTAAATTGTGTTATTTCCCTCCATTTGAGTGGGAGGAAGACATCAAGAAACCTGGTAGGAAGAATGAGAAGTCTGCCATCTTTCTTACAGAAGCTGAAGGTATTCAACTTACTTCTTTCTGTCGAATGAATTTGATCAGAAAATTTATGTATGACCATCTTAAAATAGAGTTGATTCGTAAAAAATTTGAGCTTATGCACCTTGTTAGGGAGTGAAAAATTGGAGGAGTGAAAAAAAGACACATTCTTATACAACTAAACAATGAAGATGATTACACGCGCTTATTTGCTCGAAGGATAATCTGGATTGATAGCAGAGCGCGCTTATTTGCTCTTTGCTCGAAGGATAATCTGGATTGATAGCAGAGCAATGAAGATTCTAAAATAGTTTGTGGACAGAATAACCAAGCATTCTCACCAATCATTCATGTTTGGATTCGCCTCCTTGGTCTGAAATTTTATTATTTTACTCGAAAAATGTCCTGGTCTAAAATTTCATTATTTTACTCAAAAAGTGTTACCCCAGCTTATGGTAAACCACTTAAAACAGACATTCCTACTTTTAAACTTTTCCGTCCATTTGAAGCCAGAGTATTTGTCGAAAGAGACATCACTTCACCCGCCTCTAAGGAAATTTGGTTGGGCACATAGCATCATGGATATTGGCAAAAGGTAGTGATTGAGCTTTTTCTCTCGTATTGTTCAAATTGTCTTATGTTCGGTCACTCCAATTCTCAATGCCACTATCTACACTCCCAACTCAGACCAAAAAAGCATAGTGCTCCGCCAGAGGCAACGATTTCATCTCTTCCTGATAAGCTCCAAGTTATTGACACTATTGATCATCAAAAGAATACCTCAGATGACATCACTATTCTCGCAGGCAATATGACAACCTATGACAACCTTGACAACCTTTCAGTCCCCAGTTGTAGCTCCCCCGTCTTTGGAACCTCCTATCGTTGGGGAGAGGGTGAGTCTTCAGACCTACCTGCCTTAGATATCATCGATAATACATGTGACAATACTTCTACTGCCTCACTACCGTCTCATTAGGTTGAGCACGTTGTTAATGTTACTCAGGCTCATTGGAATCGTGATGCGCAACCGCCTACACCTGTCTGGCCAACGTTGGAATCTGCTGATCAGATAAGTCAATCGTCGGATGAGGAATGACAGGTCTACAAATCCAGGAGGAAAAAGAAGAATAGAGACCTACTTGAGCTTAGAAATCTGATAGATGATACTTTAGTTACTACGGGCAATGGTACACCTTTCCAATTTGTTAGCCGACTCACTTCTAAGAACTAGAGGCAGAGGGAGGACTAAAATGGGACGACCCTAGCACTTTTGCGCCCTTTTGTGGCTTTTTAGTTTTTTATTTTTATGTATCTTTGTTTTATTTGAATTTTGTGTGCATTGTATTGTGTGAGTTGGGCTTTCTTTTAGGCCCTCTCAGACAACGTTTCTGTATCTTTTCCGTATTAATATATATGCCCTTGAACTTTTTAAATATATATCTATATATATATCTATATATATATATATATCGTCGCTCACGCTCTGCTAGGGTTTTGCCTCTATGGCGAACCCTGGTTTCCCCTTCACTGCATTTCTCTTCTTCGCGCTCGTCCTTCTCGTCATTTCCGTTGCTTTCGTCTTCGTCTTCATCCTAAAGCGACTGCTCACGATTCATCGTCTAGAGGTTGAAAGGTTCGTCGGGCTCGGCCTATGCGGTATCTCATGCTCGCAGGAAAAGGGCTCGTGTGCGACCTACGTCTTCTTCGTGCATCGTTTTGGCAGTCCTCTGCTCGACGTTTGCTTCTTCCTTCACGCGCTAAGTGCTCTGCAGCGCTAATCCTCCTTAGGCGCTTTTTTCTTTCACGCGCCAGGTGCTCTGCAGTGC